GGGTATGTGCTATAGTGAGTGCTGTGAATTGTGTAAGACTGTTGAATCACAGACCTGTACCTCTGAAACAAATAATACATTATATGTTAAAAAAAAAAGAAGAAGAAGAAGATAGCAGGAGGGGAAGAATGAAGGTGGGGAAATCAGAGGGGGAGACGAACCATGAGAGACTATGGACTCTGAAAAACAAACTGAGGTTTCTAGAGGGGAGGGGGGTGGGGGGTGTTAGCCTGGTGATGGGTATTAAAGAGGGCACATTCTGCATGGAGCACTGTGTGTTATATGCAAACAATGAATCATGGGACATTACATCAAAAACTAATGATGTAATGTGTGGTGATTAACATAACATAAAAAAAAAAAGATAAACTCTACCATCTTGCAAGCTGTTTTCAATGTGTTCTATCTACTTTTGGTCCCCTTTTTCCTCTTTCTTTGCTTTCTTTTGGATTGAGAATTTTTTATGATCCCATTTTATCTCTACAATTGACTTATTATTTATACCTTTAAAAAAATTTAGTGGTTACTCTTGGGTTTGTAATATACATCTATAATCAGAGCCTACCTTCAAATAATAATGTATCACTTCACATCTAGCTTAAGACCCTACAATTCCCAATTCCTCTACCCATTTTTTGTGCTATTTTTATACATTTTATTTTGCATATGCTATAAACAAAATACATTCCTATTGTTGCTTAGATGTTTATCTTTTAGAGCAATTAAAGATATTTTAAATTAAAAAATTATTTTATTTTCATATGTTCCATTCCTGGACTTTATTTCTTTGTTGTGTATTGTGTAGACGTACTTTCTGTCAGCTGTATGTATATATAGTAGTGCTAGTCTACTGGAAATTCTCTTAGTGTTTGTCTGAGAAAGTTTTTACTTCTCCATCTTTTAAAAGATATTTTCTCTGGGTATAGAATTCTGGGTTGGCAGCTGTTTTTCTGTGGTAAAGGCATTACTCTTTTATCTTCTGATGTTTCAAATGAGAAGTCGGCTATAATTTTTGTCTTTGTTCCAGTGTGTTTAATGTGTGTTTTTAATTTGGCTGTCATCAGGCTGTTCTTTGTCTTCAGGATTTTATCTTTGTTTTCAGCAGCTTGAATATGATATATGTAGGTGTAGAGTTTTGTTTTTGTTTCTGTATTTGTTCTTTTTGGTATTCTCTGAGATTCTTGGATCTATAGTTTGGTGCCTGTCTTTAATTTTGGAAAATTCTTGGCTACTATGTCTTCAAATATTTTTTCTGCCCGTTCTTTGTCCTCTCCTTTTGAGATTCCAATTGTACATAAGTTAGATTGCTTAATATGTCCCATAGCTCTTGGATGTTCTCTTACATTATTGTTATTGATTTAAAAAAAAAAAAAAATTCTGTTTTTCTCTTTCTTTTTCAGTTTGGGTAATTTCTATTGACCTGTCCTCAATTTCATGGATTCTTTCTTTGGCTCTGTCAAGTATGTTGATGACCCTGTCAGAGGCATTCCTTCTCCATCTGTTACTTTGTTTTTCACTTTTAGTATTTCAATGCAATTCTTTCTTACAGTTTCTATCACTCTGTTGCATTTTCTAGTATTAACTTTTATCTTTTTCCTTCCCAGATAGCAGCCATGTAGGGCAAGATTTAGATTTTCTTAGTTTTTTCTTATGCCTCTTTTGCATTTCTTAGGTTTGGAAAAGCCTTTTGACCCAGGAATCACCAAGAGCTGTTCCAAAATAGAAGGGCATAAGAAATTTATTCAAACTAGCTTGGCCTGAGTAGGAAGTAAGAAGAGAGTTATAGACGGGTTGCATTGAGGAATGAAGAGCTGCTGTGTGTATCCACAAATCTGATTGACTTGCTCAGGGTAAGTGGTCATCTAAATCTGTTCTTTTCTTCTTTATCTACTTAATAAGACCATCAAGTAACTATTATTTCACTCTTGTTAAGTGGGATGACCAGCTATAGCCCCTTCATCCAAAAAAAATTAATGTGTGTTACTTTTATAATAAAGGATATGTTTTTCTGTCAGTTCCAAAACAGGAAATTTTCTGAGTCTTCTATCTAGTATATTTTATCTCTGTTTGGCCACAGTCATAAAGTTGTGTGTTCATTTGTTCTTTGATTCATTCAAACATTTTGTAAGCCTACTGTCTCAGAGTTGCTATGCATTTGTTGGTGATTACAATGATGAACAAGATATCCTTTCCTCCAGGAGCTAGAGAGACTCTTACTTAACTAACAGAAGAGTGTGATTAGTACTATAATGAAGGTGCAAAATGCTATGGGACACAGAGGGTCTAGTGATTCACTTGAGCTAGGGGATTGGTCAGTGTAGAAGAGGTAGCATTTTAACTGGGTATAAAAATGATTAGAATCTTGATGGGCAGAGAGGTCAATGGCCATTCTAAGCTAAGCAAACAGCTAACTCAAAGACATTGATTTGTGAAGTATCTGGTAAACAGTTTATGGTCTACTCCAAGAAAAAGACCATCTTATGTTTCAGGGACTTGCAGGTAGCAGTGAAGGTTTGAGACTAGATCCTGTTTTGTGGTACACCTGGAAGTGAAAAACTTGGAAAGAAGACAGTGATAGCAGGACGAGACAGACCACCCTGAAACCTTTTCTAGAGGAAAAAACTGCAGGGGGAACCACGCAGAGATGGAGAAGAATTCTTGATGGTTTATACTTTTGGGAAGTCCTATACCCAATGACTTATTTGCTTTGACTTGGCTATTTGTAGTCTGTTTTTTGTTTTTGTTTTCCCTGATCAAGACATATGAAGCTCAACTAAAGAAAGTGAATATAAGATACCTATCCCCAAACTGAACTCCTTAACTCTCATGAATGACAAATAGAACTGTTAAAATGTGTGAGCACTGAGAATTACTTAATCCATTAATTCTGGTGTTTTCTTCACTGTAGGAGGCTAAAGCATCTATCTCCAGAAATGTCTTTGGAAAGTAAAGAGCAATATGATCTGTCACCCAAGAATTCAGTTGAAGGAAATCACCAACACAGTCCTCTGTCTGATATGCATCCGGAGCTTGAAAAGGAATCAAGTACCAACTTGAAGCAATTTGAAGCCAGTGATCAATGCACACCTTATCGTAGGATCCATATGGAGCCTCAAGAGAAACCAAGTACTAACTTCAAGCAATTTGTCACTAAAAAACTGCAGAAGAGTTGCCAGTGCAGTCCAGCCAAAGCCAAAAATATGATTTTGGGTTTCCTTCCTGTTTTGCAATGGCTCCCAAAATATGATCTGAAGAAAAACATTTTAGGGGATGTGATGTCTGGCCTGATTGTGGGCATCTTATTAGTGCCCCAGTCCATTGCCTATTCCCTCTTGGCTGGTCAAGAGCCTATCTATGGTCTGTACACGTCTTTTTTTGCCAGCATCATTTATTTCCTGTCGGGCACCTCCCGTCACATCTCTGTGGGCATTTTTGGAATCTTGTGCCTTATGATTGGTGAGGTAGTTGACCGAGAACTACACAAAGCTGGCTATGACACTGCCGAAAACGCGCCTTCTACTTTAGGAATGGTTTCAAATGGGAGCACGTTATTAAACCAGACATCAGACTGGGTGTGTGACAGAAGTTGCTATGCAATTACTGTTGGCAGCACTGTGACCTTTATGGCTGGAGTTTATCAGGTAAGAAACAGTGGAGGAAGTGGTTACTTCTAGCAAAAGAAATCACTGTACCTGAAATGTCAGATCTGTAAAGGATCTCAGAGATCATGATGATTAAAGCTGTCATTCGTTGAATGCTGCTTAGGATATGTGAGGGATAGAGCCAAAATTCAAACCCTGGTCTGACTCCCCAGGTAAGTTAAGGCTGCTTCTCTTTTCTCAACCTTAGGCTGCCCTCTTAACCAATGAGTTTCAGTCAGCCAGATTGTCATTATTTGGTCATAAAAATGTTGACCAGAAAGGGACCTGAGATCACTCAGTACAACTCCTTCATTTTATATGTTGAGAAACAATGAGTTTGCTTGAGATGGTGTGTGGTTGGTTATTGGCAGAGTCGGCATTAACAAGCAGGAGGAGGATGACAGGCTGAGGGTTGGCAAAAGGAAGAGGGCAGGAGGTTTCAAATTATAGATGCCTCCCCTCCCCACCTTTAGATTTGCTGCTCTAGTGAGTGACTCTCACCCCAGATAGCAATTTTCTTGGACTTCTGGGGAACAAGTTGAGAACCACTATTTCATGTTATTAGCCAGAAGAAAGGATTAGAAAATGAGATTCTCTTCGGGTCTCCCATAGAATCTACTAACCCACCATTATCATCATGCCCCTGTCTTTTGGCATCCAGGAGTTAATGCCAGCATTAAACCTCTTCTCCCTTATAGGCATTTGGTTCCAATATGGGCAGGGGGAGAGTAGCTCTCTTCATGTTGTTCCTGGTGAAGAGGAGAGGGAGAAGTGGATAATGTGCAGAAGAGTGATGCTCGGCAGGGTCCGTTTTTGCTTTTTTATTAGTATGTCTCACCAATGAGAAAGGGCTCCGTAGAATTATGAGGAATCATTGGGAAGAGGAAAAAATAAAGAAATAAAAAAGTTTTGTCTTTGAGGATGCAGATTTAGTATGGGGAGCAGTTTGGCATAAGCACATATACACTGAATGAGAATAGTTTCTCAGCATGAGGTTAAAGAGTGTGTTCTATAATGATTTTAAATGTGATTCTTTGATGTGAATCCAGTGTTTTGTTTTATCAGTTAAAACTTCACTTTTATTGTAATGATTTGTAATTTAATGAAAACACATGGTTTTTTAATTAGGAGAATTGTTCCAGTTTGAGTTTTTATAATTTCTTGTGGATCCTTAAGAATTTTTTCTTTTTCAAAGAGGTCTGAGCTTATTCGTGTTTAAGAAACATTGTAGAGGGCACCTGGGTGGCTCAGTTGGTTAGGCGACTGCCTTCGGCTCAGGTCATGATCCTGGAGTCCCGGGATCGAGTCCCGCATCGGGCTCCCTGC